ATTTCGTATTTACCATTTCAGTTACAGTTTTATTACATAAAATGTTATTTATAAGATTATAATTTTCAAACATTGAAAATGTTTTATACAATATCACTTTAAAGATATGAAATGGCCCAAAATAATATATTTTCAATGGAACCCTTTGCAAGGGTCACTTCAACATAACGCCACGTGTAATCTGTATGCATACGCCCTCTTTTAATGAACATTATCTTTGAAACCATATTAGAATCGAATCTGACAAAAGTGCGCATCATGGTCCTGGATGTGCTGCGCGCTAGAATCGGGAAATCTCAAAGTTCTCCCCGTTAGAGCCATCAATATTATCCAAAATTGTCATTTCGCTGGTTCACTCCGCAGTCTTTCGAAAAAAAATCAAATTCGTGGTGCCACGAATTTTTATTCGTTATATATTCACAGATAATCATTTTTTCATCGCGCACTGAATGCCGGAATTTCTGCGCACTTTATTTTAATTAACTTTGCACAACGCGGCCCCTGTATTTCATTCAGTGCACGATGAAATCTATCTGACTGGGCCGCGGTGTGTGATATCACTCCCATGTTAAAACTCCATTCGATTTTGAATTATGCGCAGGTCCCCTATAGCTTTCCGTATATGTGAGCAAACTTTTATCTAAAAAATCATCGTTAAAGCTGTTTTTAAGAATTAATAAACAATATTTCAGTATATATCGCATGGTCACGAGAACCAGCACACAATAAATGTCGTTGATATTAGCACACATGGCGCAGGCTTTGGTAAAGTAACAGAATTTGACTATATTTGAAAATATCCATTATCGTAAATTTGCCCATTACCATTATATTAAAATAGTGTAGTAAAATAAAATAACCACTGCCCGGCAACTGAAAAAGGAAATGTAGCTCTTTACGTTTAAATGTCATTAGCCGACCATCATCAAGCCGGATACAAAGAATTTATCACAATTTCAGCTAAGATGAGTATTAATTGGAATCCTTTTAGTAAAGATGAATAAACTTGGTGATCCCACGGCAATTTCCAATACACACAATATTCAATGACCACTCGTCAAAAATACTTGTTTTGCAGTGTTAAGTGTTGTACTTGATGATCTAAAAATCCAAACTTTTGTTTCTTACATGGCGAGAAATTATTTTTATAAGTTATAAGATGAAGAACTTTTTTAAAAGTCACATTTTCCAAGAAATGTCTCAAATAGTTTTTCATGTCATGAATAATGCATTTGACGAAATAATTGATAAGTACTTTGTTCTAAAAACTATATTCTTCAATTAAAACTATTGTGAATAAATAATACATTCATGAAAATTGAATAACTATATTCGAATAGTCTTACGATACGATCTCCTATTTGGAGGAAGTGAGAAACACTCAAAATCTCGTGATGTTTTTCAGATTTGTGGCATTGTGACAACAATGTTATCTCATATACTCTTTTTAGCAAATCAGGACTTCTAAATGCATCTCATGGAATTTATAAATGCATATGATTCATATACGTGCATTATTAGCACACTATACGTGCAGTATTAACACATTACAACGTGCATTATTAGCACATTATACGTGCATTATTAAAATATTATGCATGCATTATGAACACATTATTACGTGCATTATAAACACATTACTACGTGCATTATTAGCACATTATACGTGCATTATTAACATATAATGCATGCATTATGAACACATTATTACGTGCATTATCAACACATTATTACGTGCATTATTAGCAGATTACACGTGCATTATTAGCACATTATAGTGCATTATTAGCACATTACACGTGCATTATTAGCACATTATACGTGCATTATTAGCACATTATAGTGCATTATTAGCACACAACACGTGCATTATTAAAACATTATCACATGTATTATTAGCACATTACACGTGCATTATTAGCACATTATAATGCATTATTAGCACATTACACGTGCATTATTAAAACATTATCACATGTATTATTAACACATTACACGTGCATTATTAGCACATTATACGTGCATTATTAACATATTATGCATGCATTATCAACACATTATTACGTGCATTATTGGCACATTATACGTGCATTATTAGCACATTATACGTGCATTATTAAAACATTATCACATGTATTATTAACACATTATACGTGCATTATTAACACATTATTACGTGCATTATTAGCACATTACACGTGCATTATTAAAACATTATCACATGTATTATTAACACATTATACGTGCATTATTAGCACATTATAGTGCATCATTAAAACATTATTACATGCATTATTAGCACGTTATACGTGTACTAACCACGTATTATACGTGCATTATTAACACATTATTACGTGCATTATTAGCACATTACACGTGCATTATTAGCACATTATAGTGCATTATTAGCACATTACACGTGCATTATTAGCACATTATACGTGCATTATTAACATATTATACATGCATTATTAACACATTACTACGTGCATTATTAGCACATTATACGTGCATTATTAAAATATTATGCATGCATTATCAACACATTATTACGTGCATTATTAGCACATTATTACGTGCATTATTAGCACATTATTACGTGCATTATTAGCACATTATACGTGCATTATTAACATATTATACATGCATTATTAACACATTACTACGTGCATTATTAGCACATTATACGTGCATTATTAAAATATTATGCATGCATTATCAACACATTATTACGTGCATTATTAGCACATTATTACGTGCATTATTAGCACATTATACGTGCATTATTAACTTATTATGCATGCATTATTAACACATTACACGTGCATTATTAGCACATTATACGTGCATTATTAACATATTATACATGCATTATGAACACATTATTACGTGCATTATTAGCACATTATACGTGCATTATTAAAATATTATGCATGCATTATCAACACATTATTACGTGCATTATTAGCACATTATTACGTGCATTATTAGCACATTATACGTGCATTATTAAAATATTATGCATGCATTATCAACACATTATTACGTGCATTATTGGCACATTATACGTGCATTATTAACATATTCTACATGCATTATTAACACATTACACGTGCATTATTAGCACATTATACGTGCATTATTAACATATTATACATGCATTATGAACACATTATTACGTGCATTATTAGCACATTATACGTGCATTATTAAAATATTATGCATGCATTATCAACACATTATTACGTGCATTATTAGCACATTATTACGTGCATTATTAACACATTATTACGTGCATTATTAACACATTACTACGTGCATTATTAACACATTACACGTGCATTATTAAAATATTATGCATGCATTATCAACACATTATTACGTGCATTATTGGCACATTATACGTGCATTATTAACATATTCTACATGCATTATTAACACATTATTACGTGCATTATTAACACATTACTACGTGCATTATTAACACATTACACGTGCATTATTAAAATATTATGCATGCATTATTAACACATTACTACGTGCATTATTGGCACATTATACGTGCATTATTAACATATTCTACATGCATTATTAACACATTACTACGTGCATTATTAGCACATTATACGTGCATTATTAACATATAATGCATGCATTATGAACACATTATTACGTGCATTATCAACACATTACTACGTGCATTATTAGCACATTATACGTGCATTATTAAAATATTATGCATGCATTATCAACACATTACTACGTGCATTATTAGCACATTATACGTGCATTATTAAAATATTATGCATGCATTATCAACACATTATTACGTGTATTATTGGCACATTATACGTGCATTATTAGCACATTATACGTGCATTATTAGCACATTATACGTGCATTATTAAAATATTATGCATGCATTATCAACACATTATTACGTGTATTATTGGCACATTATACGTGCATTATTAGCACATTATAGTGCATTATTAGCACATTACACGTGCATTATTAGCACATTATACGTGCATTATTAACATATTATACATGCATTATTAACACATTATACGTGCATTATTAACACATTATTACGTGCATTATTAGCACATTACACGTGCATTATTAGCACATTATAGTGCATTATTAGCACATTACACGTGCATTATTAGCACATTACACGTGCATTATTAGCACATTATAGTGCATTATTAGCACATTACACGTGCATTATTAGCACATTATACGTGCATTATTAACATATTATACATGCATTATTAACACATTACTACGTGCATTATTAGCACATTTCACGTGCATTATTAGCACATTATACGTGCATTATTAACATATTATACATGCATTATTAACACATTATACGTGCATTATTAACACATTATTACGTGCATTATTAGCACATTATAGTGCATTATTAGCACATTACACGTGCATTATTAGCACTTTACACGTGCATTATTAGCACATTATAGTGCATTATTAGCACATTTCACGTGCATTATTAGCACATTATACGTGCATTATTAACATATTATACATGCATTATTAACACATTACTACGTGCATTATTAGCACATTATACGTGCATTATTTAAATATTATGCATGCATTATCAACACATTATTACGTGCATTATTAGCACATTATACGTGCATTATTAAAACATTATCACATGTATTATTAACACATTATACGTGCATTATTAGCACATTATAGTGCATCATTAAAACATTATTACATGCATTATTAGCACGTTATACGTGTACTAATCACGTATTATACGTGCATTATTAACACATTATACGTGCATTATTATACGTGCATTATCATAGTATACATGCATTAGCGCAAACGTGTGTTATTTATTATGGGATGGCGATTGGATTGGCCTTAATTAAAGTGAATCGTAATAATTCTCGTGATTCGCTTTCGGCCAAATCAATGCGACATTGATGCACAGAGCCGATCATTCCTAATCATATCAGCATCACAATATCCATTTAGCAGAAGGATGCGAGGAGGGATTGGAGCAATAACTATAACGGATAATTCAAACTAAAACTAAGTAACCCTAACAGACGAATGCTGCATTTTGGATGTTCAAGCTCTGAAATGTCGACGGTGAAACACACAATATGCGATTTGTTTTGTCGCACGTGTTGAATGACAAATATGTTTATGCTGGTTCGTTGACACCGAAGAATGGCATCCAGAAGGGCCGTGTCCAGCTAGGATATGTCGGGTTAAATTGTTCGTTATTCCTTACATTGGGTTAATTAACATTGTCGCTCGGAGGATTGTGACAGAATGACGCCATTCATTCGTTGAGGATATTTGGATATGAACTTAATAAAACAGGACGAAACGTATTCATGTATAAAAGAAACCTGAGACTGCGATGGAAACACACAGTTTATCGTTTGAGACGCAATAAATTCCCAACGATAGCCGAAACGCAGGTATTTGATTTTCAAATCAACAGTTGTCATAGATTACGTCATTGGAATGCATGCGTTTGATTTGTGGTAATAAGGTCATATGTTTTCATAGTTAGCTATCTTTTGGTAGTCTTGCATCAAGCCCAAGTGACTCAAATAGACTCGTTTTTAGTTAAGTCTGTGAAATATTTCAATAATTGCGCAGCTTTATTATATGCAGCACGTTTTACAGCAAAACTTCATAAGGTTTTTCAATAATGCTTAAATTAGACATGATAAACACTAATAATATTAAATCAAGATTAGAAATGAACAAAGAAACAAGAATTGCAAACGGCAGTGTCAAGCGGCAACACAAAGGTTAATATTAATCATAAAGTCTTTACGTCGGATCACACAGGTATGAAATCAAATATGTGATAAATATGATACAATAGAGGAAATTCAAAGTAAAAAATAGTGATAATGCCTCAAGTCACATTTGATATACGACAACCGTACGGCGGAAATATAGGGATACGATGTAGATTTTCTATTTTAATTTTGTGAAGTTACGGCTGCCGTAGAGCAAATGTGACTGAGGATGAAATAGCACGAAACAGTCTATAATTTTATAGACTTTTATTTGAATTTATGCTTTGTTACATGTGCGTTCTAATTGTTACCTGCATAAGGTATGTGCTTGTTTTCCGCGTTTAATTACCCCTAGTTGCTAGTTAATTTGCTCTTTTTACGTCGCCTCCGTTTCACATATATAGTGGAGTCAGTTAGCAGTATAATTGCACTTGCTATAATCACAATTTTCTAACCAAAGTATCATTAATACATATTTTTTTGATATCAACCAAAGTGGTTTTAAAAAGTGGTCCCAGAGGATAATAACAGGCCTCGAAAATTTTGCTCGTTTCCATTGAGTCCCATGTTAATTTATCAATCTTCAAAAGCCCTGCAGAACATCTCAAGAGCAATAAAGTCAATCTTCCTAGTGTGTAACCATAACTTGAATGTCTTCAAAATATGAAGGGTTACAAGCTTGACTTTGCCTAGTTCCAAAGATTTTAGCGTTTGCATTTTGGAAAATTCCAATTGACCGCTATTATAAACTTCTATCAGTATGGCTGTCCTTTTCTCAAAAAGAGCGCTGTCACATTCAGCAGCAGTTTGAAACTGTAAAATTTGCTCATTTTCGTATTCTAATTTGAGCTTTCTCATATGTCTTCTAAAATGTCTCTTTTTAAGTTTGTACTTAAGAAAAGAATCGTGATCGAGACCACGTGGTCTTCCGGCTTGTGTCCAAGCAACACGCGCAGCCCGCATTTCTGCATGAAGGATTTTTAAATCTCCTTTATTCCAAAAGGGCTTTAAGTATTTCCGGAACCGGGATCTCGGAATCTCGGAGTATCAGCAAGAGCACGAACAACTGAATCTAGGCCACCAATTGTGGTGAAATCGGCAGTATTTGTTATTTGTGACAATTGAATTTTAACATCATTGGAGAATAATTGTTTCTGTGTAAAAGTGGCTTTGCGCCATCTCGGTATATTCATAGCCTCGCAAGAATAGTCGATTAGACTTAGTGGTAGTGACATATTAACATTCATCATAACTGGGTGGTGATCAGATATATTGTGTGGATGATCATCAATAACTCTACATTGTTCTATGATATCGAACTTGTTTGTAGGTACAAATAAATAATCAACGCATGACGAGGCATTATTGCGAAAAAATGTGTGTTTGGGGCCCGTTGTAAGATTTTGAGCATCAACAGCTAAAAGGTTTGAATCAAAGACCCATTTTTCTAGCAATAATCCCGGTCATTTGCCAAATCACATCTAGGTCCACTTTTCGAACCGAGGTGACCGTTGAAGTCACCGGTAAACATGATTGTTCTTAAAGACGAATAAGTGCAAAAGAGACTGTACAGATGATCTATCCAGTCAATATATAGAGATTATCCTATATGAGGTTCAGGATATTGGGATTATCCCGAGGCTAATATAATATATTTGCCCGAGGGCCGCAGGTCCCGAGGGAAAATATATTATATTGGCCGAGGGATAATCTCAATATCCTGAACCGACTATAGGGTAATATATTTATCCCATACCAATCTTGGTAATCTGGTTCACACTGTTCAGTCGTCGAAATGTTTTAGAGTATTCATGTCCAGTATTGTTTTCTTTGCCGCGCTCGGATTTTCCTGTTCTCACAAATATTCCCGCATTTATTTTCTCGAATTTTTGATTGATTAAGTGAATGCTCCTTCCCTCTTTAAACCATCAAACAGATCCCGATTGTATGTGTTTTCCCCATTGTCATTTACAGTTATTACGCGAACGTTACAAATTATGAACAAATATACGAGCGGCGATTATGACGTAGCGGGCAGACTATATCTGCCCGCTCGGAGCGGGACGTAAAGCTATATCTGCCCGCTGATGGAAATATAAGTTTTTACAAACCGGCTTTATGTACCTCCAAGTATGGGATAAATTCATTTATTGGATGATTTGCCGAAGGCATGTATACTGCAAATATGAACAAACCGCACATATTCTGTCTTCAATGCTAATTTTGTTTCGCACAATGAGTGATTTATTGTACAGTATTGCTATGCCACCATGACCTCTTCGCACAGCGTCATCGACGGAAAGGTCTTTTTGTGATATACCATGTGAATCATAATTCAAATCAAGAGTGTTTAGGAAACTTAAATTGTCTGGGTACAACCAATGCTCAGTTAAGGTAACAATATGATAGTTGGGCAGAATGTTCGTAAGAAAAGGACTACCATACATTATACCCTAACAATTCCAAGTCATGACGCTGAGGGACTTGTCATTTAGTGACATAGTAATGTAGATCAAAATATGCAGTATCAGATAAAAGGACAGGTCCATAGGCAATACATAGATCCTTGGTACAAGTCATCTTGGTATTGGTCGTTGTCCCAATCCTCGTCAGACTGACTGATGTTGCCTTTATTGTAATACTGAGAATCACCTTCCTGAGCATTTTGTGTTCTCTTTTGCTCATATTCAAAATGAGAAACATACGGTCTGGATTCGATTAAGGTCGGCCAGAAATGTTCATTCAGTGCTTTTGCGTAATGACTGGCTAAAACATTTACTCGTATTAGTAGCCATTCACCATTGGATGATGTTTTCCTTGACATAACCTTAAAACCAGTGACAGTTACACCACCTTTAAGTGCATAATTAACAAGGTGCTTTCGAAGCGTGTTGTATGGTTGTGATTTGACATGAGCAAGAACAATCTTTTTTGTTCGTGTTCTACGCACACGTACTCCGACAAAGTCATCATTACTATTGCAACTGGCATTATCAGCATCCAAGTTAGCTTTTGTTATGGCTTGGCGATGGGGCCACATCTGGGATTGTCAAATATCGGTAATTGCCCTGTCGGTACCAGCGGACGATGTAGTGCGCGTAGCTGTGTCACGTGCGTTGTTTAAAGAAGTAGATTTTGGTGCGCTACACCTTACAGGAATATTGCGTGCGATGCTTGTATTCTTGCTGGTAGCTGCTTGGGACATGGTAGGTGTATGAGATGCACTGCATTCAATAGAAACATCGGATGCGCTACAGGTGACTGCCCCACTTTTGGTTTTAACTGCAGAAGTACAGGTAGCAGTTGGTGCGCTGCGCGTAGCGGGAACATTCGAAATATCCTTTGTACTTGAAGCAGAACATTTGTTTGCTCCAGTGGGTACAGTGGGAGGATTAAAGGGTATTCCCAACACTTGTGGGTACAGCTGATGTGTTATTCAAGCTACCGCTTGTATTTGGGGAGCCACTTAAAGACCTGGTCCTATCTTGCACATTATCGTTGTTCGAGCTTGAAAGTCGCTCTTGATTCATTGTGATAGCTGCACTGCGAGAAGAGGACTTATCCAATGCGCTTACTTTGTTTCAATTGCTTTAACAGCTTTGTTTTTGTTTCATTGATATCTGTTGTGAGTTTGTTTATGTCTGCCTGTTGATCATTGATTTTTGCCCTCGCTATCTTTAAGTCATTTTTAACTTCTGTTCGCTATCCTTGCATCTGTTAAGTTCATTCTGCTTTATTTCAATTACATCATTGAGTTCTTTTACTTTTGATTTCGTAGACTGCGATTTCAGCCTTGAGTTCATTGATTTCAGTTGCAACGTTAGACTGTTTTGTGTCTCATTGTATCATCGATAGGGTTGTGTACAACTGATTTTCTGTTTGTCTTTGCCTTAGGATTTAACAGTGTCTTAATATCCGACAGGTTAGAAGCTCCATTGATGAAATGGAAAAGATGATATATATCACATGCCAGCTTTTCTTTAACAGAAGTGCTTGTTTGTTTGTTTTTAATTTCCTACTGGGTAGACGACGAATAAGCGCACCTGGTGGCATGGCATTGCTGCGATTGATTCGTGCATAATCAAATAAAGCATCTCTGGAATGAACTAATCCGTCTACATCTTGGTGGTCGCATAATCTTTTAATGAATAATGCTTTGTCTGCACCGGAACACAAATTTTTAATTTCATTAGTGACATCATTTTCTGTCTGGGTAGCTATGAGGGTGGGATTAAAATCATCAAAGTCACTGAGAAAATCACCACTAGTTGATTCCATACAATTGTCACTATCATTTGTGGAATCTTCATCAATTTCTATATCTGCAGGCACATGCACTTTGGTAGAAAGTGGCATTGTATCAGATTCTGGTAAAAGATTTGCTGTTTTGCGTCGCTCAAATCAAAACATACAATTCCAAGGTTGTCGTGACCTTGCAATTAAAGGGACCAGTGATAGGTGTAGCTAAAGGGTTCAATGATAGGTGTAGCTAGTGAATAGCAATTAAAGGGGCCAATGATAGGTGTAGCTTGTGAATAGCAATTGAAGGGACCAGTGATAGGTGTATTTAGTGAATAGCAATTAAAGGGGCCAGTGATAGGTGTAGTTAGTGAATAGCAATTAAAGGGGCCAGTGATAGTGTCACGACCCTCGGGAAGTAGCGTGGT